CACGATTTTCATGCACCCACTTGAGGGGGAGTATTGAAAGAAAGAGATATATATGGTGTATATCTTTGTACGTATATTAGGAGATCTATAGAGTTTTAATTCCATATATATCTACAAGAAAAACGACTTTCAACAACATATGTTTAACAAGGTGCGGAAAAAGTATGTTGTTATTTAACATGTATTACAACGCGCGTTTAATGCGTGTTGTTATTAACGACAGTTGAATATATATTACAACATTCTAGTTTTGCCTGTTGTTAAATTTACATATTACAAGGTTTATCCGCGTCTTGTCAAATTATACATTATTTACAACACACGCTGTGTGTTGTCATTATTTATCACGTACTACAACCTACATTCGCACCTTGTAAAATTTATTCAAGTTTTATCCAACCAAAGTTTTAAAGGCTTTTAATTTCCCTCTTCTCGTTTTGCTTTCCCTCTTGTTCTTTTTCCCCTTATTTTCCTATTCTAATTTCCCTCTTCTTATTTTACTTTCCCTCTTTTTTTTTTCCCTTTTCTTTTCTTTTCCTCTTTTTTTTTTTTCCTTTTCTTATTTACGCATTTATTTGAAACCCTAACAGAGACCCACTATCTTTCTCTATCTCGCTCCTCCTTTCGTCTCCACCCCCGCCGGCCAACGTTTCATAGTCGCCTCTACTACCGCCAGCCTCTCTATCGTTTTAGGTAAAGTATATATTTTCCGGTCTGTAAATTGAGATCTACAATTGATTGGGCCGTTTTATCTCCTCCGCTTAAATTCAATTTCTTTGATATTTTGTTCTCAAAATTAATTGGATTGATTTTATTGTATTTGTTTCTTGAAATCAGGCTTCTCATAGAATTTGTTGGAGAAACTATGGACAGTTGTCCATCCTCGTGTGAGGTCGATGTCATTTGTTTGCAGTCATATAGAATTATGATAATTTCATATTCCAGGTACTTGATTTTAAATTGCAGGACGAGATAAATCAATGTATCAATTAATTTGAGGGAAAGTTAATTATTTGTCCTCCTTGTTCAAAGCCAGCCATGTTGGAACAAATTGATAAATTTCAGCGGACAAATTGGTTTATTGCATTGGGGCATCATATGAAGAAGTCTATTATTATGTATATGTGAGTTTTTTATTGTAAATATTTATATTTGATTCCTACCTTTATTTTTTCATTGGTTTCGTCGTCTTTGATTGTATTATTTTTCTTCGGTTTGCAATAACTTTATCTCATTTTCTTCCCGTTTGCAATTCCTAGTTGGAAACATTCCACCGCAAAAACACTAATCAATCAGGCACTCCTTTTTTATTTTTTCCATTAAAAATAGCCCAAGTTTTGTTTCTACCATAAAACAATATACCACAATGAATACATGTGGTAAGTTTAAATTCTTTTGATAATGCTATATCCTATATGTATCACTCATACCACGTAAAGTTTGCATATATATATTGTAAAAAAATTGAGAATATGCCACCATATATAGAATATGTATGTTGTTTTTGCTTTCTATCTACGTATAGATCATCTTTATTATTTGATCATTTGTATATCAACTCATACTTTCGTTTGTTTGGAATTTTAATTATAGCAGTTTATTATGATAAATACTATGTAGAGGATTTATGTGTATGCTCACTGTCCTTGTGCCTTTACAATATTTCTGACAAAGTTAAATATGACCAGCATTGCAAGGAATATGTGGAAGCAATTTATACCACTCTTGTTACTACATAAGACAAATTGCAGTCTCCATGTGATCAATTTATGTTGAAGGTACCGTCTTTGTGTTATTCGTTTCTTAACTTTCCAAAAATTTGATTTTGCTATATTATTTTATATATGTTTTTTTTTCAATTTGTTCGCATTCCCATACTTTTTCTCACAGCTTGAAAAATGACCAAACACCAAATTTGTGAAGGAAAATGAATGACCTTTGTGAAGCAAAATGAAGATGTAGATGACTTTTGAGTTGAATATAATGTAAGTTAAACCATGTTTTGATGCAATTCATTTTTTAATTTGATTTATTTTTTGCTCTGAATATAAATGGTTTTGGTATTTTCAGTATATTGTGGAGGAACTAATATTGGAGAACTTGACATCCATTGATTAAATTGAGAGATGTACGATGCATGCGCATTCTCGGGGTACAAGAGACTTTAGATTTAGTTTTGACGATAAATGAACTGGTTTTGTTTGTTGGCCAAGGGGCATACGATCATAGTGTTGGTTGATAAGTTTGTATTTTGCCAGGATTTTGGTTTATTAGAATTTGGACAACATTTAGATTAATTGAAATCTAATTCTTGTGTATTTTGTTTAGTAGTATATATATATATATATAATTTTTTTTGTGTGATAGTTAGTAATAACACAACATGCTTCTGAATGTTGTTAAAGTCTTTGACAAGATGCAACAGTGCCTTGTTGTAAGAGATTCTGCAACAAGCATAAACATGTTGTAATTGTGGAACACAACATGCAGTGCAACTTGTTATAACATAAATTACAACGTTCATTGTAGGTTGTTATAGCTCACAAGCTTTAACAACATGTAGGTCAACAACATGCGTATGTGCGTTGTCAATCTATTTTTACAACACACTTTGCATGTTGTTATAAGGTCTTTTTCTTGTAGATATGGTAGGAGTAATATTAGGGTTGCTTGCAAAGTATATATATATATATATATATATATATATATATATATATATATATATATATATATATATATATATATATATATACACACACGACAGAGAGAGAGAGAGATATATAT